GTCCATGCCTTACGCCGCCCTTGGTCATAGAAATGATGTAATTTGAATATAAATTATTTATAAATACGTATGTCAAGTTATATTTTTATTACTACGTAAAATATATTTAAGAGTTTACGACCACTGTGATGGGTGAGACGTTGTTGAAACAAAAAAAAGTTATGTATTCCATCACGTACATAAACAGTGTCGTAATTCGCCAAGTGCAAATCAGTAAATTCGTAAAATTTTTGTTTATTTTGAACAATCCGGATAATCGAAAATCCGGATAATGGAGGTTCTACTGTATATACAAGACTCAAGTGTCCATGTTGTTCTTCTCTGCTGATTGGCCTGGTACTGGGACTGGGAATGTGAAGGCCAAGCAATGTGGTTTAGGCAAACTCATGACAAGTCGTGCGTACATGTAGCATAGAACATTACATTAACATGCGATCATCGTTAGTCATTGTTTCTTTGCTTACTAGATATCTCATAGCAAAATAGAACTGACAATGAGTTATCTTGAACTACACTTAAGTAAATTTCCAAGAAAATGCCTAAAGGCCCTAAACTTTGCAACACCCCAATCATGGTGCCATGTGACCCCGGTTGAAAAACACTGATATACCCGCTGAATGAATATCATGTTTAAATTTGTATATTGAGAACATTGTGGGTAAATTAAGCAAGTTCTATGACTAAAAACTTGTTTTTCCCTATTTTAGTATTCTTCTTTTGTTACCAAGTTATGGAACACCCCATTATAATTTGACAACTTAAAGAAAAAAATCAGTATTAAATAAATAAATAAAAAAAAACCCATAAAATTTTAAACTTACATGGATTAACAGACAAAAAGGCAATCCTCTGTGCACCTGGTATTCCAGCTGATACCCCAACAGCAGTGCATACATAAACTCCACCTTGGTCAGGTTGAATATTTGGAATTGTAAGACGACCTCTAATATCTGTACTTCCAGCAGGTAGAGGACGATTCTCAGTTCTGCTCCATTTGACTGGAGCCCGATGACTACTTTCATCTCGACATCTAAACACAACTTCTCTTCCTGGAAAAATTACAAATGTTGCACTTTTTAAGCATAAATAAAAATAAATNTAAATAAGAATATTATTTCTAAGCTTGTCAATCATTCCCAAATATTCAAATTCAATTTCAAGTTAATTTTAATAATTGCTAATTAAATTTTTAAAAAATGTTTAAAAATCACTATACAAAATTATATACATAGTAAAGAACTAAATTGATTACAGAAATTTTATTTTGATTACATTACCAAGCATTCTCCTGTAGAAGGATCACACTGACTTGAATGTCCATGACAATTACAAGGTATTCTAGATAGAACACATTCTCCCAAATAACGTCCTGATCTTCTTACATATCCTTCTGCACAGTTCTGTACACATTTTAAATAAGAAAAAACTTCAATTTGAAATTTTAAAAAGGAACAGAATTAATGTATCTTTGAGCAAGCTTTAAATGCTGATAAATATTTTTACATCACTTCAATCCAGTTCAGAATATATTAGGTTTAAAGACAGATCAGAATGATAAAAACATATGAAAACTTTGCTCAAGTATATTATTTTTATATTAAACAGAAAAAAATTTGCATGATATAATGAAAACATACAAAAATTTCAACTTACTTCACAAGAATTTCCTGTATATCCCTGTGGACAGGAACACTTTTCTACAAATGTTGCTTGATGGGTTACAGTATCAGTTGAATCAATGATTGAAGCTGTATCCATTTCAAAATTTAAAATACTGAAAATGTAAATAAAATAGAATTATCAGCTGAAAAGTCCTCAAGTTACTTAGAGCCCTCAAATACTTTTTCTTTAACTTGCTAAACAAAGCAAATTAAAAATAATTGTACTGACAAGTGAGACATGTAAATATTAAAAACAATGTAGGCTAATATATCTTTATTTGTTAGAAATAAACACTAGTTTAAAAATCTTTTCAGTTTTTATATGAGTCTTGTCATTTGTATATATGATCAGTAACTATTTTAGTACACACACATTTTCTTATATGCTGAACTGTTTAATATAATCTCAAAATAACAATGTTATATTCCTTTGAATAAAAAATACATAAATACACTGAAAATTCAACAAATTATTGAATTTTTTCAATTAAAAATTCATTTTATTCAAAATGTAATAAAATACTTTATACAAAAAAACAAACATTTATTAATCTTTAAGTGTTATTTTACTATATTATGTAGATAATATAGTAAAAAAATGGTTTAATAGAGTAGAAGGAACAAAAACATTCAAGTGCTTTCTACTACTAATTAATCATCATCAGAAACTACATATTCAAATAGAACAAAGTTATTCTAGAACAGAACACATTTATATTTTCTGTTGTGGTTACAGTAAAATTATATTTAATTTGTTCTATTCTGAAATAACTGTTCTATTTTGAATATTTAGTTCCTAATGATAATATTAAAAAAACATTCAAATCTTTTAATGTGATTTCTACTCCATAAAAGCATTTTTTACTATGTTTTCTTTATTTTTGTAGTATTAATCTTATCTATCTATATTCAGTTTATGGCATCTGATGTCACCTTCCAACTTCCAGGAATCCTCTCCATCTCTCTCTATCCATAGACCATTCTTCTTTAATTCCATTTTTACTACATATTAACTTTACTCCATTGTACCAAGTTCACCTGTGTCTTCCTCTCTCTTTCATTTTTTGTGGAATGTAGTCCATTGACATTTTTGAGAGTCTCTCATCACTCATTCAAGCTTATATATTGTAAATATTACTTATCAATATCTCCTTAATTCTAAGATACAGTTTTTTACCCATTTTTGCTTGTCTAAAATAGAGATGTATCTTACAATTAATGGCATCTTGCATTTGTAGTTTACAATAACAAACAGTAATCATCATGAGTAGACTACATAGTACACACCAATAATAGATATATCTGGCTGTATTGTGTCCAATGGTCAAATCAGTTCAGATCAACTTTTCTAGTAGTGAGCATTTAATTTTTAAAACATTTTGAAGACAATATTATAATACACCTTAATTACATTGATCAGTAGAGATTTAATTAATTAAAAAATATTACCTATTTGTAACATTTGTATTGTTTTTCAACTTTTTTGTCATTAACAAAATTTAATAAGATTGATTTTTAAAAAGTTTTCCTCCACTAAAAATATCTTAAAATTCAATTTTAAATATATTATGAATCTTAAAATCAAAGAAACACAGTATATCCGAATATAATATTTGTTTATTTTTTATTTTTACCTTAACAGCAGATGGATATTGTTGAAACTCACCTGGAATCAATTAGTTCCTCATCATAACTTGCTCTAATATAGATTGCTTTAATATTTTGTAAAACAGTAAGAATTTCTCCTCTGGTGGGTGTATCACTTATAGGCACATCATGTCTTCCCTGTGCTTCACTTCTATGCCATTTTCCCTGAATGGTTTTATAAATTTTACTTTTATATTATTTATTTATCAAAATATATGAGACATAAAAAATGAGTATATTAAGTCTAAATGAATATTAAATTGAATTTAAAATCTAACAATAACAATTTGTCACAAATTTTGGATAAAAATAAACCTTCAAATACCAATAATTTAAATAATATCTGTAATTAAAAATTTATAAAAATATTTAAGGCAAAAACATTTTAAAACACACATGCTTATATATAATTTTAAACTCAAACTTTATTTATCAATTGATAATTACATCTCTTGAATGTCACATGTTTTCACTTGATTTTTATACTTTAAATCTAAGTGTTAAATGCATTTTTAACATTGAGTTTTAATTACTATTAATATTTCCAAATATAAAAACTAAAAATTTAACAAATTCTAATTTGACTATGAATTATTGTTGTTATTGATATTTCAGAGAATGAACCATAAATATCTGTAATAATACTAACATGCAATACATTGTTGTTTTGAACCAAAATCAAGCAATTAATGACAATGATAATTGTCAAATAAATTAATAAGCAATTCCAAAATTGTGCCTAATTTAAATTAATACGTTTTTCCAGTTTAGATACTAAATGATCTACTTAAGTATAACACAAAAAAAAACCAAAAATCCAAAATGTAAAATTTAATGAGAAAGTAATGTTTTCAGCTGCTTTTAGGTTATTAGGTTACACTGTTCTAACATGAAATATATGAATCAAACAATGAAATTTTAAAAAACAAGGCAGCATCTGATTGATTAATGAATATATATGTGATCTACTTAATAAGTATTGAGTGTTATGTTTTGTTTTGGGTAAATAAATAAAATACTTTCTTACTGGAACCACACAATAAATAAAATCAACACCTTTAAACAATCCAGCAAATCGTTTTTTAATACTTTAAAAAACGCTTTCGAACGCTTTAAGCGATCATCATCATCAGTTAACTTTGTGAATCGAACGAAGAAATTCGAAACTACGTAAAATGAAAATTTCAAAAAGCGGTTACATAAATATACGTTAACATTGGATGCATATAATTTATTTTATTTTCTTTATTTTGTTTTAACTTGTATAATTCTTACAATTATTTAAGCTTGGTAAATGTTAACGTATATTTATGTAACCGCTTTTTGAAATTTTCATTTTATGTAGTTTCGAATTTCTTCGTTCGATTCACAAAGTTAACTGATGATGATCGCTTAAAGCGTTCGAAAGCGTTTTTAAAGTATTAAAAAACGATTTGCTGGATTGTTTAAAGGTGTTGATTTTATTTATTGTTTTGGGTAAAATTTCCTTTACGATAAATGATAACATAAGTTTCTCTCAAAATATATGATGATAAATATTTTTATAATTGGAAAACAACAGATCAATTAGCAAATTTAAGTTACAAATCATAATATTTGAATAAAAATGTGAAAATTACAAACAATGTAACAATATTAATTTATAAAAGTCTCAAAAGAACTCACCTCCCAAAAATGAACCTTCATATGATTATCTCTATTTGGTCCATATGGATCACTGAAAACATGATAAAGTGTAATGTTATTGCCTTTAATTATAACATCTACGAGACGTGGAGGTCTTGGAATGACCGGAGTACGGTATCGTAAAATGTAACGAATGTATCCACCATAGCTATTTAACTGGAATTTAGAGTAATATTTGAATTTATTAAATAAATAGAAATTATATTTTAAAAATCATATTTCACATTACCTGATTGCCTAAAAATTCTGGAGGTAAACTCCAATAATAATGTATGTCAGATGGCACTGAGCCTAATTTTACTCTATTGTCAATTCTGTATTCTCTGTTTATGGAATTATATTGAATTGCATTTTGGTCTGGTGGATACTGTTGGCTTACATCTATGTAATGTCCAGATGAATCTTTACGCAGAGCAACAATAGAAATTTCTGTTTGTAATAATATCTAAAAAAAATTTATAATAATATATTACCTGCATACTGAATAATACATATATAAATTGTAACATAAGTATATAGATATAGTACATGTGTAAAATATATAATGTATATGTAAAAATGTATTTATAACATATTTGACAAGATGTTGCACTATAAACAAAATCTTTGAGGATGTTTAACAACTTCTTTCACATAACTTTACATTTAAAAATGACTTCAAAAATTTTTTAATCATCTGGCAACTTCAGTTGTAGAATATATAGTATAATATTCATTGCATAATGAATTTTTTTTGTATCTTTCTTCCTTAGTTTGTTATTTTAATCCTACTGTCTTTCCTAGTACATTTCCTTTTCTTTTTGATAACTGAAGTGAATATTTTACTTAATATACTTTTAACCAATGGATAGAATAATTAAATGTAATAGACAATTGACATTTTAAATATTTCATTCTTTTTTTTATAACAATTCAAATATACTGAACTATCATAATTAATAAAATATACAAGATTAATAGTAAAATATAAATAATAAAAGATTCTAGTATTAATAATAAATTAAAAAACAATCTAACATCAGTTGAATTTGCCCAAAATAAATATTTCAAAATAAGTTATTATATGAAAATTACTTACAGGGGTAATATGTAAATTACTGCTGTAACATGTATCAGTTATACCAAAACAGAAACAGCGAAGACAATCAGATGGGCTATCTGCATGCTCATTAAATAATGGTGGACGACAGATACCTACTTTAGCTAAAAAATTTTCATAATGAGTTTTAAGAATTAAGCAATCTTTTAGATTATCTATAAAACACTTACATTTTACAACTAAAATACAATCAGGAACTGCCAGTACACTATCTTTACTATTAATAGCTTCACAGCTCCAAGCTCCTTGATCACTAGGTCGAGCATTATGAATAGTGACTGTACCTCTTCCATTCTCACTAACTACTATAACTCTAGGTGGAGGAGGAATATGTCCCCAATTTAACCTCCAACTAATGATTGGAACAGGAGTGCCAACAGCAGTGCAAGATATTATTACAGTTCCTCCTTCTTCTACAGTTAATGTATCAGGAGGAGGTTGCGTAATAGTTGGTGGAGCTTTAAAAAAATATAAATAAATATTACTAAGAAAAATCAAACTTTCAATTCATTGAGAAAAAAAATTGCAATCATAAAATATGTTATTAGTTTACCACATCCAATTTCATCAGAGTTATCCTGACAATCAAATTCAGTATCACATTGAAAACTTTTTGGAATACATTGATCTCCAGATAAGCATCTATATTCACTATAATGGCAAGGTGAACCAACAACAGTGGGTGCTAAAACAGACAAAAATTATATTTATTTTAATAAATCTTATTAAATTCTAATAACTTATTTATTACCCCTAGACAGAAATACAAAATAATATCACATAACTTTCTAATATTAATTAATATTTTACATTTTAATCAATTTATTGTAATATAATACATATTTATATACTTAAATAAACATACAAAATTATTCCATTGTTTTGAAAAAAATAAAGTGAAATAGACTGTTTTTATTTTCAATGTTTAGCATTTAAAATATTCCATTCAGTTACTTTAACAACTCTATTCATACAGATTCAATAATTTAATTCAAATTTTGAGATTGTGAAGACAACTGCAATGTAACAAATTGGAATTGTAAACTTTTGCAATTTTACAAATTGTAATTGTCTTCACATTCTCAAAATTTAAATCTAAATTTTATAAATAATATCTCTAATTAAAATACTACATTTTACTTTACATAAATAAATATATATAGTATATAAAAAAAAAACATTCCAATTGCCTTAATAAATTGATAGTTTTTGATTACAGGAAATTTAGCTAGTTTGTCTATACATTATATATTAACTACTGATATAATGATATCATAAATTCACTATTGATCTATTGGCATCATATATATAAAATGTTAACAGATCAGTGTATATGTATATACAGTAGTTTCTTTGGATTAATTTAGGATCTTAAGTCACTGGGCATAAGTCTCAAACAAATAAGTTTATTTTATAGCATTCTCTTTCAGTATAAATTTCCTTGCAGAATCAGATGCAGTCAATATTTATATCAGTCAAAAAAGAATGTTATGAATATCTTATATGCATCTGTGTTATAAAATATGTAATTACCAACAATCAGCATGAAATTAGATTTAACTAATCCTAAACCAATGTTTTCAACAGTTTTTAATGGTCATCCTCAGGTTTTGAAGTAATGGAATGCTTATTAAAAGAACACAAATTTTAAAATTTTTTAAAAATTTGCACATCATTTTGTGTTTCTGGTTTATTTAATTACATTATCATCACCTGTTTTCATCTCTACACAGAGAAATTATTATATGATGAATTTATTTGTCATTGTATTCTTTGATCCATGAAAAATGAAACTATTACTTGTATTTTGTATTATTGTTAGTGTATTAAATCTCCACATATTTCATGTATACATTATTTAGGAAGGCATAGAATCTAATTTATAAATCATTATAATCAGCAATATTTTCTAATTATATTTTAGTTTTAGTTAAGTTATTTGATTACAGATTTTTGAAATATTCTACAGATCAAACTATTATTTTTTATTTGTAATAGAAAACAAAAATGTACTTGCCACAATCTCTTTCATCACTATTATCTTCACAATCATTATCACCATCACATCGCCATACTTTTAATACACACTTTTGATTATCACATTGAAATTCATTTGGCTCACATCTTGAATGAGCTAAAATTTTTAAATCTTCATGTATTTGAGAAAATAAATAATAATGAAAATTTATTTTTGTATAATATTTACCACAATTATATTCATCTGATCTATCTGTACAATCATAATCTCCATCACATACATAAGCACGAGGAATGCATTCACCATTTTGACATGTGGCATTTTCATATGGGCTACATGTTCCAGGAACAATAGGTGGCAAAGTCACAGGTGGAAGATCTTAAAATATAATAATTGTATAAACATAAAAATGAATTTTAAAAATATATCAATTAATTAAAATTTAAAATAGTTCAAGATATAAGTAATTAAAATAGCATCATTCTTGGCATAAACATTTGCAGTAATTAATCATTGTTAAGTTCCTACCTTCTAAAGTAACACCTCCTTCAGAAAGAACAGCTAAGAAGAAATTTAAACATAGAAAAATAGTTGTTTAAGTAAATTAAAAAGAATCAAGCATTTATAAAATATATCAAAAAAGTTCAAAGAGAAATTAGTAAATTTAATTTTAAATAAGCATAAATAAAACAAGCTTTTTGTTAAAACAGTGAAAAATAAACTTGAATTAATATATTAATTCATCTTTAAAATACTAGAAGATTAATCATTTTTATTTAAAAGCTTAAATCATTTTTAATTGAGAACATGTAGTCAGTTTGTTTTTGTATTGGATTGGAACCATATGACAGTTAATTAAAAGAGATAAAAGTACAGTATTTATTCTGATGTAAATTTTATGCTGGCTAATATTAAGTTTTGGTTTCTAAAGTTATATTTATCCAGTAATTGCTTTTGTTAGATTTTTTAAAAAACTTGAATTATTCACATATCAGGGAAATATTGATTATCTAGATACAAAAAACCTCTTGATTTTACATCTTTTATTAAAATATATATATATATTTCTGTATTTATATTTTACATATATCATAATTTTAAGTGAATTTCATATTTAAATATATTTATGCAAGGTTAAAGTTGTAACTTTCATTTTAAAGGACATTAATATATATAAACATAATACTTTATGCAATAAATGTAATTGATTGCATTAACATATTAAACAAAATGCAAGATGTCCCATAAGTTTTAATGCCATAGAAAAACGAATTTTTCTATTTCTACAGACTATAACGTTTCTGAGCAAGGAAGAATGAATCCAAATTCTGCTCATACTTATTCAAAGATGCTATAAGGCCTGTAAGCAGAGAAAATTAGAAGTGTTGAACATTTGCAATAATGCATTATCAAGGAATGTAACATCATTACTCTTGACATCGTTCATCATATACCTCAGTGTTTTTCAACCTTTTTCATTGAATGGCACCCCTGATTGAAAAATATAAAAATTGTGACACCCTTGACCAGCGGTGGATCTAGAATCTGAATAAGGGGGGGACTAATGGGCAGATAAACTTTCTGTGAAAACAAATATTATGTGCAATGCTGGGGTGGGGTCCGGGGAGGGGACTTGCTCCCCAGGAAGAAAAATTTTAAAAATTTACAGTTTGAAGTAGCATTTTAATGCAAAAAATGCATTTCTATGTGTTCAAAATCAAAATTTAAGTCCATTGAATTTTGTTGAAATACCTACATGTAAAATAATAGTCTCGCTATTGTTTTTTAAATCTAGTTTTATTATCAAATATATCATCATTTTATATTATCACTTTATTGATAAACAATTTTTGTTAAGTTTTTTATACTATTTTGATGCACATATAAAATAAATATTTCATTACTTTTTTCTTATTTTTCATATCAATTTAAAAAATTTTAATTAAAAAAATGATAAAAAATTGTTTATTTGTCATCATTGCTTTTGAATACTATGAAAATACTGTAATATGCACCTACTTTGTGATTGAAACCACACGCTTTTCAAAGTACAATGCAACACTTTTTAAAGTACAGTATAACCTCGATTATCCAGACTAATTGGGGATGAAGGTAGTCCGGATAAGGAAAAATCCGGATAATCGAAACAAATACTTTAATTTGTCTTTTAATGATAATACAACACGTTTTCTTTTCGATGACATATCGGTAATATTAAAAGTAAATACTGTATTTAAATCGTGATCAAATTTTCAAGAAACAAACGTTCGTATTGAATTTGGACTACTACTGACCAACGCTAACAGACTACCTATTGTTTAAAAGGCCCTCTGGTGGCGCAAGAAGACGGATTTTATAAAATAAAAAGCAGTTGAAACTGCATTTTTATGAATAAAAATTTGACAAACTATTTATCGTTTTACGACGAGTAAAATTTTTTCGTCGCGTTCACGGCTTTTAAGTAATGCATAAACCTTCGAGGCGCGAGGCCCTTCGGACCGCGAGGCATAGGCGGTGGCCCACGTCGTCCATGCCTTATGCCGCCCTTGGTCATAGAAATGATGTAATTTGAATATAAATTATTTATAAATACGTATGTCAAGTTATATTTTTATTACTACGTAAAATATATTTAAGAGTTTACGACCACTGTGATGGGTGAGACGTTGTTGAAACAAAAAAAAGTTATGTATTCCATCACGTACATAAACAGTGTCGTAATTCGCCAAGTGCAAATCAGTAAATTCGTAAAATTTTTGTTTATTTTGAACAATCCGGATAATCGAAAATCCGGATAATGGAGGTTCTACTGTATATACAAGACTCAAGTGTCCATGTTGTTCTTCTCTGCTGATTGGCCTGGTACTGGGACTGGGAATGTGAAGGCCAAGCAATGTGGTTTAGGCAAACTCATGACAAGTCGTGCGTACATGTAGCATAGAACATTACATTAACATGCGATCATCGTTAGTCATTGTTTCTTTGCTTACTAGATATCTCATAGCAAAATAGAACTGACAATGAGTTATCTTGAACTACACTTAAGTAAATTTCCAAGAAAATGCCTAAAGGCCCTAAACTTTGCAACACCCCAATCATGGTGCCATGTGACCCCGGTTGAAAAACACTGATATACCCGCTGAATGAATATCATGTTTAAATTTGTATATTGAGAACATTGTGGGTAAATTAAGCAAGTTCTATGACTAAAAACTTGTTTTTCCCTATTTTAGTATTCTTCTTTTGTTACCAAGTTATGGAACACCCCATTATAATTTGACAACTTAAAGAAAAAAATCAGTATTAAATAAATAAATAAAAAAAAACCCATAAAATTTTAAACTTACATGGATTAACAGACAAAAAGGCAATCCTCTGTGCACCTGGTATTCCAGCTGATACCCCAACAGCAGTGCATACATAAACTCCACCTTGGTCAGGTTGAATATTTGGAATTGTAAGACGACCTCTAATATCTGTACTTCCAGCAGGTAGAGGACGATTCTCAGTTCTGCTCCATTTGACTGGAGCCCGATGACTACTTTCATCTCGACATCTAAACACAACTTCTCTTCCTGGAAAAATTACAAATGTTGCACTTTTTAAGCATAAATAAAAATAAATAATTTATTTTAAATTATATTTAAAAATACATAAAATTCTGCTATTTAGTAACTAATTTATTTTTCTTATAAGTAACTACTTATATAAAAGAATAAAATCTGTTTAAATATTTTATATTTAAACAGATTTTATCCTTTTATATAGGCATATTTTTTTAAAAAACATTATGTTAAAAACTCTTTTAGTGATACTTTTTTGTCTGTATTAGTGTATTAATAATAGACAATAAAGAACATTTAAGTAATTTTATATTTTAAATATCATTGTCAGGTACTATATTGTTTTCTAAAAAAGTTTTTAAAAAATTTTTTGTTATAGAGTATTATTGTAAACCTGCTGAAGAGGGCCTTCAAGTCTGAAACATACAAGTGAACAGGTGAAAATAAAGATATTTTTTTTGTTTTGACTTTTTGACTAAGATCAGTCACAATCCTTCAGATGATCAAATTTTCTTTAGAACTCAACATAATTTTCTAAGACAATGAAATCTACTGATCTATTCAAAGTTCTAACACAAATCAAAATTCATAGAAGAAATATTTTGCAAGTTTTTGACAGCCATCACCACAGTACAAAACATCTTTAATATAATCAAGAAGTATCTGACTGATAAGATTGATAATTAAAATATTAGTATGTCCATTAGTATGCAGATGCTACTCCAACAATGATGAGAAAAGAGATCTTGACTGAACTAGAAAAGGCTAGAGAGACCTCATATTATTTGTAGTTTATTTTATACTAATTAATCAAAAGCCAACAGAATAAATAGATAACATTCATTTAAATATTATTCATAAATTGTAACATTTTAATATTTGCTATAAATAATTTAATATATATAATATGCAGAGCAAAGAAATCACTATTATTAAAATATTTTTATTTCTTACTTTAACATAATATTCAATTTACCTTGTCTAATACTTTGTCTTTCAGGATATAACTTCAACTGAATTCCTGCTGTAGATGCTGAAATGTATAAATATACTTTCTTAATATTTATTTACACAGACAACTAAACCAAAAGTAGTGAGAAACTTACGGCAATCAGTTTCATCTGAAGAATCTCCACAGTCAATTTTTCCATCACATCTTGCATTCTGAGGAATGCATTCAAAATTGGCACATATATACTGATTAGGTTTACAAATCCCTGATATTTAAAACAGATCAAAGCAAAATATGTTATGATTAACAAAATTGCTTGTATTAAAAGATATTTTAAATAAAAGTATTAATTTCAGTTAATTTTATAATAAAATATTTATTAAATCATTATATTCTATTCTATCAAAAGCATTGGGATAAATCAAATAAAGATATGTCTAAGTTTCTGAAAGAAAATATTTTATAAATTTCTTTAAATAATAATAATAACCTTTTATTAAAATAAGGATTAAATAATTAAACTGATTTTGTTAAACATAATTTTTTATTTAGCACCTCATGAAATCAAGACAACTCATAAAAATAGAAATAAATTGTTGGCAAAAGATGTCAATTTCATCTGGTTCATACAGCAACACATTAATACTGTATCGTTGTTTTGTAATTTTATGAAACAATACTATGTAAACATTGTACAGAATGGAAAATACAATCATCTTAGGATATATAAAATATAAAATTATTATACAACCACTAAAAAACACATAATTTTACGATCAAGAACAAGATTTTGTAACCTGAACCTTATGATGATAGCTGAAAGCTATCAAAAATATATCTTTTTTCATTAAACTTTTCATTTTCTGCTGGAGTTTTGGTTCTATTTTGTTTTTCTACAATATTATCCAGTTTGTGTTGTTTATATGTCAAATGGTGTTTTAATGAAAATTTGAAAGTTAGTATCTAAAAAGTTTATTTTAAACATGAAATTAGTTTTTTAGATAATAAATACAAAAAAAATCAAAACGAAAAATAACTTATTAATACTTATATAAAATTAATTCACATAATCAAAGAAACAATGCTAAACTTTTACTTGAAAAAGAATTTTCACTTAATGCTTAAATTGTGACTAAGTCAGTTAAAATTTGAAATCTGAAGAGCAAAATTAAATACATTCATTCAGAGGTTTCTAAAATTTATAAAATTTATAAAATTATAACTTTATAAGTTATTTATTTAATATCTCTACATTTGTTAATTTTACATTTTTAATACAGAGGTAATAGTATAATCCCAGATTCCCAAAATTTTCAGTGTTTAAATGCTACATGCATCATATGTCTTAATATATACAACTTCTGCTGAGAACAAATGCTGCATTTTTTATCTTCTGAGGCTAAAGTAGACAGTGCTGTGTTTCTTCTTTTGAGATGTTCTGCTTATTCTCTGCTTAAATTTCTCTGTGTTTTCCAAATGTAAGTCAATATATTACTTTCTTGTTATTCTACTGGAACCTTTTAATTTTCTCTACTTTTTCCTATGGTTAAATAGGTACTGAGAGTACCTACGGTTAGAACATAATCTGCACAGTGAGGGTAATAACATCACTGAATTGGAAAGCAAAATTCTTATACAATTTTAATATTCTATATTATGTTATCAGCAATTATTATAGGAATGGGAGCAAAACAATTTTTAATTAATGTGGTGCAGAAATTATTTTTACCAATTTTATTGTTTAAATAATTAATTTTGAGAATAAATAATTACCATATTGTTGCCCACATCTCAATTACTTGTAACTCTGAATTTAACAATTGTGGATTAAGAGTATCCAAATGCCCTTCTGATATGAGATATAAAGGTCAGTGTTAACAAATTCATATGACCCTTTAACTGGAAAAAAAATCAAAGGCAACTTGGTTGGTGAAAATAATTTGTTTGATGCAAAAACATGTTAATATCATGTAAACGATTATTTGAAGTTTTGTTATTAAATTTTTTATTTGGTGATAAAAAGTTATATTCTGTTATAATTTTATCATATGCATAAACAATAAAAAAAAATTAAAAAGTTATAAAAAAAACCTACTTGCATTATTAAAATAAATAAAAATTAAAGATAGTTTAATGAAATATATATAAAAATCAAAAATGTTAACAAAAGTAAAAATGAATATCTACCAAAGTAATTAATTGATTTTTTAAATCAAACTGATTTTATGGCTGAATGTTTTGTTTTATTCTGATAAATCTAAATGCAAACCAGTCTAAAAACTATTCTAACACAAATTTCAATCATATTATTAGATCCCAATACTTTTGTTAGAAAAAGTAATTTTTTATTTTTGATATAATTAAACATACAGCAATCCAACTCATCTGAATGATCAAAACAATCAAATATTTTGTTGCAATACTTGATTCTATCAATGCAAACACCATCAGCACAATGAAACTCAGAAGGTCTACATGACCTCCTTTCTAAGTAATAAAAGAAAAACAGAAAAATTTGAAAATTTCTATTATAAAACTCAGAATTTAATATTCAAATATGGAAATATTTTATTGTATTTAGAGTTAATACCACAATATTGTTCATCAGAATAATCAAAACAATCATTAAATCCATCACAGAGAAAAACATTATCTACACAATTTCCATTGTGACATTTATATTCTTGTGTTTCACATTCCTCTAATCCAGCAGCATGAAAATATGTTATATTTAAGTTAAATTTTGATCAAATTTTAAAAGTACTCAATAATTCTACTTAATTCTTAATACTTACGACAATTCCTTTCATCTGATCCATCTCTGCAATCTTCTTTATTATCACATTTCACAGAACTGTCCAAGCATTCACCACTAGAGCATTGAAATTGATCGGGTAAACATTCTAAAAAACAAAATAAAAATTAATCAGTTTTATTACAAAATAATTTTTAACTTAAAAGTTAAAAATCATGAATTAACATTTCTATTTAAATTGTTGTTTTAATAGATGTAAGTTTTAACTCACAAGGAATTCATTATAATTATGTAAATCTTATGATTGTTACACACATTATGAAATTTTATTTATTATTCTTGAGTAAATTAATTTTCCAATATCATGCTTGTTGAAAGAACTAATACTTTCAATTACCTACAATGATCATCATCAGGTTACAAATTAATTGAAAAATTCAAATTAAAAGAACAATGCAAACAATTCCAACTTAAAAACTAAATTACATAAAGAAAAATTATTATAAAACATAAACCATAATAAATCCAAAACAAAATCTTTTTGAATAAAATTACCTTAGATTCTGTGAATAATCTGCAGCAGCACATACTCTATAATTGCTAAAACAAAACTAAAACCATCACAAAACCTGCACCATCATATACACCATATTTTTGAATTATGAGATGATATCTTCTGAACTGTATGCTTACGAGTATGCACTTTAAAAGATATCTCATACATCATTTTTCCCTTCAATTTCTTTTGTTTCAATCCAATTAGAGTTTATCATAGATCTAATTATAAGATAACTAACTATAAAATAAATAAACAAAACAAACAGAAAAATTACCATATTTTCACAGATTGTTAGACATGTCAGTCTATCTGGAGACCATGAAATCATATATTTCTGTATAGTAAAAACTGATATGCTGGTTTATGTGAGGTTATAAATCCCTCTCCAGGGAGCACATAAAAAACAGAATGAGATACATTGTGTGATATCTCATAGAAGTCAGTTTTTATTCTAAAATTGTGAAACTGTTAGCATCACATCAAATACTAATTATATGTTTAATTTCTGCATTTGTTTTCTTTCTAATGATGTAAAATAATCGCAGAATACTAAAAGTGTTTTTTTTTGTTTATTTTATTGTAGTTTTATCCAAAAACACAAAAATAAGCATGTAAAATGTCAGATACTTTAATTACTGTAATTTATCTCAACTTACAAGATAAGCTTTGTGTGAAATTTGAGACGACGGTGCTATCTTTTAAGGTCAGGGTAGTAAATGTAAAATTTTATTACTTTTGTGGCAGATAGTGTGGGCTCCACTGACAAACTACTATTACTACTACTACTACTACTACTACTACCAATAAGTAACTAATTGTTTTATTAACCCTTTAAATGAAAACTCAATAAAATAAAATAATACAATGTTATTATTTTATTGTACTCATAAGAATGTTTTCTTTAACATTTATTTAACAACTGTAGCTATTCCCCATCAAGCATGATAGAATACTTTTTATGAGAAAGTAGAAATTGAAGAATTGAGAAAAGCAGAGATTTCAAGAAATTCAAGATGAATTGCTAATATTTCTACAAATTAAATAGTTTATATTATTTAATTTGTAGAAATATTAGCAACTGTTGTAATAAAGAGCAATAAAATCTATTTTCTCAAGTCAAGCTTGATGTAATACTGTTTCTGTAGCAATTGACAAAGCCATTCTTACTCGATGTTGCTCAAGTCAGACTTTAACCTGCTTTAGGTTCTTCAGGGTCTCAGTTGTTTTTATTCTTTTAGATATAAAATTTACCTGACTAATTTTACTCTTAAGCCTAACCCTAGGATTTTTTTTTATTTTTTTTGACAAAATAGCAAGTCTTTTTAATTCCATGTTGATAAAACAAAAATGAATTGTATGCACATTAGTTAGATGAATGATAAAATTTTCTAAATAACAGGATTGTTAGATTGTTACTTTTGATTTGATAATAGAATATCATGTGGTCACTATGAAAAGATGTTTTTTAAAATTTGTTGTAGAAGTGATATGATGTGGCTATCTTTTTTTAAAGTTTAATATTCAACCACACAATTGCAGTAATTATTCGGGATATAAATTTGCTAATATTAATGATTAGATATTAAATTTAACAAAGTAAGTTTAAAATATGCCATTTGCCAAAATATTTAAAAATGCAACTTAAAGGAAATTCCTTCGTCAAGCATGAATGTCATATGGTTACTGATGTCACTGCAATGTAAGTGCAATTACTGATCCAAAATCAATAAAACAATTATTTTATAGCCAATATTTCTACAAAATAAGTAACCTATACTTTCCATCAAAACATAAAACAAATATAACCAAAAATTTCATCTGAATTGGATAAAAATTGCAGAAGTTATAAGGAAATCACATGCACACACACAACATCTTTTATATTATTATACTAGTTTTGTTAGATCTGATTAATTTTATTGTTATATGCAGCATGCCAGTTAATCAGTAGAACATTTGTGGCAAAATCTCCTAAACTGCATAAGTGTTGAAAATACTGACAAACAAATTTTTTATTGTTTTGCTTCATTTCTATTTTATTTATAATATATAATAATTGCTAAAATAAAAAAATTAAATATAAAGATATTTAATGTCAATAATATCCCAAAGATCCATGTTCGAGAATTACCATAATTTTTCAACTCTTACTTTCTGTAAAGAACTAATATTAGGTCATTGCAAACAAAATGACCATTTTTAAATTTTAAACTTTGGCTTTGTAGTTCAACATTTTTCCATGTGAACAATGCTATATGTTTGCAATTGGAAGAGCACACATACATGTGAATTAAAAATGTAATCTCATTTATATTGTGAGTTCCACATGTTTAAGAGTATTCTACTTTTCTTTTTTCATGCCATCAGAAAAATTGAAAAATTTTTTATTTTATGAATATAAGCAGAGACATAATGCAGCCAAAGAAACCCAAAATACCATTAAAAACTGTTGGTTCTGTGAGTAAGCAGGCCACCAGGTATTAGTTTAAAAAATTTCATTCCAGGAATATAAATCTCAAAAATCAGAATTGAAGATCATCAAATCAAAACATTACCTGAATATCCATAAATTTGCAGAAAGATTGAACATACTGGATATTATTCAACCATTTCCTGACATCTAAACATGTTACGAAAAGTCAAGAAACACAACAAATGGGTACCACACAAAACCCAGTGAGAGAGATAAGGAGCATCATTTGGAGATCTGCCAATTTTTAATTATTCAGTACAAAAATGAAATTATTCAAATAAAATTCTTCCCCATTCACCATATTCTCCAGATTTTTTTGCCAACTGATTATCACTTGTTTTATACATTTGGACAGTTTTTTGGCAAGGAAAATCTTCAAGGAAGAGAACACAATAAAAAGTACCTTTAATGACTTTTTGGTTTCTCGTTTTCATGATTTCTATCACATTGGCATTATGCACTTTTCCCAATGCATTTCTATTGCATTGGGAAAAGTGTATTAATGTTGGAGACAATTTTGATTGAATGCTCAAAGTCAGAAATAAAAATTGGCCATTTCACTTGCAACAACTTAATAACCTAATATGATAAAATCAACAGTTTCTAAATAGTGCTTTGATACTCATTCCATAGAGGGGAAACAATTACCAGAAATTTATCAGCTCTCATGATATAAATTTAAATTGGTCAAATGTATCAATAATATCAATTCAAATGTGAACTAAATATACAGAAAATGAATGAAGAAAGCTAAAGTCAAGGTATGCATATGTAGAGTGTCCACTTAAACATCTATCCAGAGGCAAAAGAGATTTTTTTCAGCATTGCACAAGTGTATGCAAGTGATGCATGCTTGTTCCATTGCTAAAAGAACCAAGACAAATCAATTTAAGACAATTTAGCATAACACACACACAATCTCTGAACTAACAAATAAACTATTTTATAACAAAGATTCATAATCTTTCATATTAAAAATAATTTTTTCGTGTATTAAAGAGTTGGAAATGNTTTAATGTATGATAAAAAAAAATAATACAAAAGCAATTAAGAAAACTTTATATGTATGTGTAGTTAATAAAAATAACCTTGATACTTTTTTACTGAAATTTTGTTTCAGAAAATAATCAGCATATACAAGAAAATAATCAGCTTGTATTTATGTCAATTGAAAATTTTAAAATGATTACAAATTCAAGCTTCTAGTATTTTTCTTTATTTAAATGTTTTTGATTTGTATTGTCATTATTCATTATGTCATAAATTCTATAACTAAGCCTAATAAAATAAGTTATTATTAATTCATTTTTATTCTTATACTTATCAGTCATCAGTTCTTTGAGGAAATATATTGTTATAATGAAAAAGTACAGTAACTATTTGCCTTAAAGCAAGAATGATAATAAAGTCTAATTTTCTTTATTAAAATTATGAATTATCATCGTTTTTATTGCAATACTAAACAATTCACATAATCTTACCCCTTATCAATTTTATACTATAGAATTTAATAAATTAAAAATTACTTGGCATTTATTAGAAATAAATTTTGAAAGTATTTTAATTATTTCTATAAAATTTAAAATTAATTTTTTTAAAACATTCTGTAAATTTAGTAAATTATTTTAAAAATTCTAATACTTTTGGATATCTAATACTGTTATTTTAGTTTTAGAATATAATTCGATTAAATTAAGGATATTCTATTTCAAAACTTTTATCATTTTGAAATAGAATATCCCATTATTTGTTCACATGTAAAGTATAAAGTGTTCCATTCACTGGTACAAAAATGTGTAATTTTAACAATCATAAATTTTTGACATATTTTTATAATATAACTAACTTATTTAGAGATACTGAAATAACTTTTATTTCCTATCCATTATAGAAAGAGGAGCTGACATTTCAATACATAGATACATACTTTTAGAAATTCTTGAATCTAAATTCAATCTTACCCTAATATTCCTAATCTCTGATAAATGAGACACTTGCATAAAATCATACATGATCATACACTTTTTCAACCTTTGCCATTAAAGCAGCATTCTCATTATTTGTTTACCAAAATAGATTACAGTTACAAAAACTTTAAAAAATTATATAAAAACATCATAATAATAAATAATTATATCTAATTAATAGTGTGTTTTGAGTGTGTTTTGTCGATACAATATGCAGTCTACGATGAGTTCTAATTAATAGAAGTGAACTTACCACAATTGAATTCATCTGATCCATCTGTACAGTCATAATTCAATCTGTCGCAACGCAAGCTTGCATCAATACATTGTCCATTTGTGCAACGAAATTGGTCTGGTCTGCATTCATCTGAAACATGGATTGTAATTTAAAAATAATTTTTTAACATTTCATTGAAAATTTTTTTAATCTACTTTTATCTTTTATTATATTTATGTAATATAAATAGAAAACAATTGTTTTTGATTGTGAAATTCTTATCAAAGTATCAACAGTAGTTGAAACATAAATAGTATCATCCAAGCTTAATTAGAATAAAATAACTTCTCAGAAAGATCAAGAGCTTATTACAATCCTATCAATAATTAGAAGTCTCCTTAGAGAAGGCTGAGGTTTAATGGACAAAACAAAACCAAATTTATGGAATAAGAAAATTAAGAAATTTATAGAATAGCTATAAGGAAATCAGACTTATATATGAAAAAACAAAAAAAAAAAAAAAACAGGAATTGTTTGATATACTTGTATAACTTAGAGACTGGAGAAGCAAACATAATCCCAGTCTACATCTGAAATGAAATTTACTTAGAGAGGATAACTTGAATGAACTAAAGCTGAATTTAGGTTAAGATTTATTCTTAGACAAGGTTAATTCTAAATGCTAAATCTTCATCATATGCAAATTATAGCAGTAAAGAATAATAATGTTTTGAATAATGAAATAAGTGTTGTGTATAAATCAAGATGTATCAAATGATATAATTTCTAAGATGCTACAGTTCTGTTACACATATTTCTAATAAATATTATCAACAGTTGCATAACTTTAAATCTTTAAACATATGATGCACATCAGCAATTCAATTATTATTTTAATAAAATAAAGAATTTTGAAATAATTCTACATAGAATTCTAATTTTATAACTAAATTAATTTTTATGAATTATATATGTTATAATTAATTTTTATGAACATGTTTTGAAAATACACAAACCAAATATTGAAAAATTTTTATGCTAAAATTCTACAGTTTTTTAAAAATTAATTACTACTATAGTCTAATGAAACTATAAAACTAGAAACAGTTAATGCTATCAATCAGAAACAATTTAATTAAATTAATTTAAAATGTTTGGAAAAAGAATGACCTAGAATAGGACTTGAATCATAAATGCTTCATATTTGTCAAGTATGTTAACCAATTATACTATCCAAATCACCAATCTGATATTTCTACAAAAATATGCAGCAGTAAAACTCCAGTATTATGAAGTTCTATATTACAAATCTCTCTTTTCAATTAATTTTTCTGTGAAATATTAATAATATGTCTTTTTAAATTTAAAAATGTTCCTATTTAACAAAATTTAATTTCTATATAAAGAATTTTTGAATGCCAAATGACTGAGAAAATGTTTGAAATCCTATAAAAATACAGCTGGAACCAGCTTGATAAGCAAAGGTCAAATAAAATGTTTAAATAAAGGAAACTTTAGAAAGATGTAAAATAAGAATACGGGAACTAGATTTGACAGTAAGACTCAAAATGTGAATAAAGTTCACATTACACAAACTACAAATACAGGAAATTTTAGATGAAGCATCATCAGGTAAAAGATTTCAAGCTTTACTATGTGCCTCTTAAAACCATTCCACCTACAAAAATTTGGCTGAACATTAGAGCACCTTTGAGCAATATTAGTGAAGGAACTTTTTTTATCATAGAGCACTACCACACACTATGATAAAATAAGTTTTATTTTTCATGTTGATAAATGTTGAAATTGATTAAAATGCAAATCATTTCCATAACTATTATGAGTAAACCTACAGTCCACAACCATTTCTTACAGTTTTCAATATATCCAAGAATAATTTCAAGTAACTTTTTGATACATTCAAAACTGTAAGAAATGGTTTTGATCAAAGAAAATATTCTGAATGAAATTTTTAATTAGTTAAATAAAACTATGGTCATCCAATGAAAGTAAAATAACTTTTGATATAAAAAAAATGCAGGATGACTATTGATTATTTTTCAACATAGATACATAAGAATACTTATTAATTCTATCATAACATTTTTTTCTCATTTTCAATAAAAGAACTTTTATTTGATTTTTCATGTAAAATGCATACATGACATTATTTATTTACATGAATATAGGGATATTTTCATAGAGAATGAGCAATTATTTATTGTGACATTGTCACAATGCCAGGCTGCAATTTTTAATCATATTTTTAATTTATTTAATTTAGAATATATGCTCTCCACCACAAATACTGTAGTATCTTGCCCCTGTACATCATACTTTTCCATTAGCAATAGATTCATGCCGGTCATCTAACTCCTTTCAGGGGGAAATTTTTAAATTGAAATAATGTGACTTCCAGTTTGCATCAGAAGTTCTTATATAGTTAACTGAGATCTTCTGCCCCTAAGATTTCCATATCTGGTCTTTAATTTTATTTATCTAACACCATTCTCAAGATTAAAGAAAGACAGACAACAGTGAAAATTTATAGGTCTACAATTTTTTTCATATTGCAGCCCAATAAACATCACTATAATATACAGTACTTTGTTTTCTTGTTACTGTTGCCACATTTTCCATTTCACAAACTTTCTGCATTTCCTAATGACAGTTTGTTATATGGAAGTTCAACTGTATATAATTTAGTTATATTACAGTAGAGCATCGTTTATCCAAATCAATTGGGGACTGGGGTGGTTCAGATAACTTATTTTTCGGATAACGAATCATGTACGAAAAAATATATTAATTTATCCCATGTTGAAATTTCTCTCCATTGCGTGTCGCTTTGCGTTGAATTTTTGTCGATGTTAAGCATAACGAAGACTATTGTATCGTTAAAAATTATTTTTTTATTTTGTACAAACAAAATTAATTTATTGAAAAATATAAAAACAATAAAAAATTATACTTCAGATGTTAATTTAGTATCAAAAACGTAAAATATTTGAGTAGCCCAAGAAATAGCCGAAGATTGCAACGCCACAGCAATAGCAAAAATTTAAATTTGCCGACTGGAATGCTTTCGGATAACCAGCTTTCGGATAAACAACGCTATACTGTATATAGATTATCTGTATGATTATAATTGATAACATACCTATGTATTACGTAAAAATTGCATAATTGTTCTTTTCTTTCAGACATTCTAAATTAATTAAATTATTTCTAATTATAAACTTAAATATGTGATGACATTATCTTTAACTCTAAAATATTTCAGAATTATAGTCCTTAAAGATTACAATATTTGGTTTATATTTAGATATAGCTTAAGCTGTTTGTTTATATTTGAAAATAAAATATAACAAATTTTTATAAGCATAATTAAATATAATTTTGTTATAGTAGACATACCACATTCCTGTTCATCAGAACCATCAGCACAATCATATTTTCTATCACACTGCAAATTTGTATCAATACATTGTCCATTAGAGCACTGAAACTGGTCATGTCTACAATCTTCACATAAAAAATAAAAAGAAAAAAAATTTAAGAAAATTATAAAATATATATTTTATTCAAATAAAAACTATTTTTTTTTATAAGGAAAACATTTTTATCAATTTAAGCAATAAAACTTAAATAATGTAACATTATTTTTAGAATGGTAAATTCAGTTTAAAAATGATAACACAATTACTTTTATTTAATAATTTGATAAACTGAATTTTTTACATTTAATAAATTGTCCAATGAATTCGTTGGATGATTTATTAAATGTTTTTGTTACCGGACACAAAGGTTCATCAAGGGTGGTCATTAGCACCAGTAATTAAGTTGGAAGATATCTTTATGAAGTTTTCACTATTAAATTTCTTTTATCTATGCTATAATTCTCAAAACATTAATTTTGACAAGCTAAATTTTTGTATTTGTCTATAATTAATATTGGAACAGTATTAATAATGTTTAATTTCATTTTATCAATAATCATTAATAATTTACACTTTACTAAACCAGTTAAAAGTTTTAAATAACCAATACCTTCAGTTAATTGTACAGCCATTACAAAGTCTTAGAATATGAAATTTATTTATTATTTAAATTTTATATTCCAAAATTTGATAATGGCTATTTAACTATTTGAAAATGTTAGTTTAATAACTAACTTGAAACTGAAAAAAATATCAGCATTAATCATGCCAAAAATTATATTGATAAAATAAACCTTCTTCATAAAGTTTTATAATTTCATTAATAAAGTCAGGAACTAACTGTATTCACTTTTTAAATCTAAACTAGAAATTGATACTAAACCTTATTATAATTAAATGCTGAATTTTTTACCGATTTTAATTTTAATATAAAAATATTAAAGCTTAGAACAGACCTGGAATACAGTTAGCTTCATCAATACCACCTGGGCAATCCATTTTTCCATCACAACGTTTGCTACTATCTACACATGAACCATCTCGACATACTATATCACCAGAACTACAAACAAAACCTATAATTGTATATAATTAATTGATTTTCTTATATATATATGTAAAGGATTAAGTATGTAAAATCTGATAAAAATTTTACCTTTGCATTCTGCTTCATCTTCTCCATTTGGACAATCACTTTTACGATCACAACGTTGTCTTACACTAATACATTGACCATTATTGCAGACAAATTCTTGAACATGACAGTTATCTAAAATAAATATCTATATGTAAATATTTTAAGCTTATTTTATTACTTAAATTTGTTTACTCGTAATGAAAAGTCAATATGATACTTAGTTATTAAATAAAAATTTTATTCAATTATTTGATGAAAATTACTAGATATAACTTGTTTAATTTAATAATTTTAATTATTATAAGACTTATAATAGTTGAATTACACTATAAATGTGTTGAATTATTGTTTCTCTAAATAAGATTTGAACCTGAATTCTTGCATAAAATGTAAGCATACAATTTACATTGTCTGACAATTCAAAATTGAAAAGTATAATTCAAGTTTATAATATATAATTAAAAATGAATATAACTATCAATATAACTTATGCAATATTATCCACAAAACATTTTTGATCCAACAGATAATTTTTAGCAAAATGAACATTTTCAGCTGCTTTTATTAGCTATCCTCAAATCTAACTACAGAACATCAACCAAATTGAATATTCCTATATAAAATGCTTTGTGAATTAATTCAAACTTAACATTTAAAAATAAAAACTATTTGGTACAAAATTAACCAATGAATGAAAAACTAAGACAAATTTAAGAAAAGCAATATTTCAGTATTGTATTTTTTTTTAAAATGTTAAAAGTCTAAGTATTTGTAATTTTAGATTAAAAAATAATATTTGTATAATAATCTAAATCACAAGTCTCCAAAAGATGGAACATACACAAGTTAATATGAAACACCATACATTAATCTAATTATATCTGAAAAACTCCAAGAAAAATAACTAGAATCAGTTTTTATTGTTCTAAAACAAATTCAAATATAAATCTAAAGATGTTACATTAAAATTATTAATATATATACAGTAGAGCATCAATTATCTAAATGTCGATCAACCAAAACATCAATTAACCAAAAGCTTTCCAGTCAGCAAATTTAAATTTCTGCTAGTGTTGTGGCACTGCAATCTTTGGCTATGTCTTGGGCTACTCCAATATTATTTTTGTTGGTGTGCATGTTTTACCTGGCAGCACTGGTGCGGCCATGAGAGGGTACTTAAGGATGTGCCAGGATTTGAACGAATTTCAACATGGGATAAGTTAATATATTTTTTCGACATAATCAGTTATCCGAAAAATCGATTTCTGAACAACCCCAGTCCCCAATTGATTTGGATAATCAATGCTCTACTGTATTTAAAAAGTATCATTACTTAAGACAATTTGATTTAACATTTTAAAGATTTTTAAATTTTAAAAAAATTTGAGGAGTAATAGTTTAAAGAGTCTAAACTGTGTAATTTGTTTCTCAAAAGGTTTGTTTATATTTGCATTAGTAAGTCAGAAAATTGGAGATTATAACAGTTTATAGTTTATATCAATAGGAACAAGATAACTGAAAATTTAAAATATTTTCATAACCTACAAAAAGAACTGCTGTATTTTCTAATTAAACTTCTTTTTCATAGAGTTTAAAGTGCATTAGATTCGAATTTAAAGTTGCATTAAATTATAATTTTCAGATGTTTCTAAAAACAACTATAAATTTCTTTATTATTATAACTTTTATCATATGTTGATGTAAAAAATGTAGGCTTACTTACGGCAAATAGTTTCATCAGAACTATCTCTACAGTCAGATCTTCCATCACATTTTTGTGTCTGATTAACACAGGTTCCATCAGGGCATATAAAATCAGTTGAATTACAGACATGTGTAACTTTATCTAAGAACAATTTAATAAAATTTATCATTTTATCATTAAAAAACAGNTTCGAATTTAAAGTTGCATTAAATTATAATTTTCAGATGTTTCTAAAAACAACTATAAATTTCTTTATTATTATAACTTTTATCATAATGATTATAATTGATAACATACCTATGTATTACGTAAAAATTGCATAATTGTTCTTTTCTTTCAGACATTCTAAATTAATTAAATTATTTCTAATTATAAACTTAAATATGTGATGACATTATCTTTAACTCTAAAATATTTCAGAATTATAGTCCTTAAAGATTACAATATTTGGTTTATATTTAGATATAGCTTAAGCTGTTTGTTTATATTTGAAAATAAAATATAACAAATTTTTATAAGCATAATTAAATATAATTTTGTTATAGTAGACATACCACATTCCTGTTCATCAGAACCATCAGCACAATCATATTTTCTATCACACTGCAAATTTGTATCAATACATTGTCCATTAGAGCACTGAAACTGGTCATGTCTACAATCTTCACATAAAAAATAAAAAGAAAAAAAATTTAAGAAAATTATAAAATATATATTTTATTCAAATAAAAACTATTTTTTTTTATAAGGAAAACATTTTTATCAATTTAAGCAATAAAACTTAAATAATGTAACATTATTTTTAGAATGGTAAATTCAGTTTAAAAATGATAACACAATTACTTTTATTTAATAATTTGATAAACTGAATTTTTTACATTTAATAAATTGTCCAATGAATTCGTTGGATGATTTATTAAATGTTTTTGTTACCGGACACAAAGGTTCATCAAGGGTGGTCATTAGCACCAGTAATTAAGTTGGAAGATATCTTTATGAAGTTTTCACTATTAAATTTCTTTTATCTATGCTATAATTCTCAAAACATTAATTTTGACAAGCTAAATTTTTGTATTTGTCTATAATTAATATTGGAACAGTATTAATAATGTTTAATTTCATTTTATCAATAATCATTAATAATTTACACTTTACTAAACCAGTTAAAAGTTTTAAATAACCAATACCTTCAGTTAATTGTACAGCCATTACAAAGTCTTAGAATATGAAATTTATTTATTATTTAAATTTTATATTCCAAAATTTGATAATGGCTATTTAACTATTTGAAAATGTTAGTTTAATAACTAACTTGAAACTGAAAAAAATATCAGCATTAATCATGCCAAAAATTATATTGATAAAATAAACCTTCTTCATAAAGTTTTATAATTTCATTAATAAAGTCAGGAACTAACTGTATTCACTTTTTAAATCTAAACTAGAAATTGATACTAAACCTTATTATAATTAAATGCTGAATTTTTTACCGATTTTAATTTTAATATAAAAATATTAAAGCTTAGAACAGACCTGGAATACAGTTAGCTTCATCAATACCACCTGGGCAATCCATTTTTCCATCACAACGTTTGCTACTATCTACACATGAACCATCTCGACATACTATATCACCAGAACTACAAACAAAACCTATAATTGTATATAATTAATTGATTTTCTTATATATATATGTAAAGGATTAAGTATGTAAAATCTGATAAAAATTTTACCTTTGCATTCTGCTTCATCTTCTCCATTTGGACAATCACTTTTACGATCACAACGTTGTCTTACATTAATACATTGACCATTATTGCAGACAAATTCTTGAACATGACAGTTATCTAAAATAAATATCTATATGTAAATATTTTAAGCTTATTTTATTACTTAAATTTGTTTACTCGTAATGAAAAGTCAATATGATACTTAGTTNTTATAATAAATTTATTTTTAAAAATATTTGATTCGTTTTTGTATGTAAATATTTTAAGCTTATTTTATTACTTAAATTTGTTTACTCGTAATGAAAAGTCAATATGATACTTAGTTATTAAATAAAAATTTTATTCAATTATTTGATGAAAATTACTAGATATAACTTGTTTAATTTAATAATTTTAATTATTATAAGACTTATAATAGTTGAATTACACTATAAATGTGTTGAATTATTGTTTCTCTAAATAAGATTTGAACCTGAATTCTTGCATAAAATGTAAGCATACAATTTACATTGTCTGACAATTCAAAATTGAAAAGTATAATTCAAGTTTATAATATATAATTAAAAATGAATATAACTATCAATATAACTTATGCAATATTATCCACAAAACATTTTTGATCCAACAGATAATTTTTAGCAAAATGAACATTTTCAGCTGCTTTTATTAGCTATCCTCAAATCTAACTACAGAACATCAACCAAATTGAATATTCCTATATAAAATGCTTTGTGAATTAATTCAAACTTAACATTTAAAAATAAAAACTATTTGGTACAAAATTAACCAATGAATGAAAAACTAAGACAAATTTAAGAAAAGCAATATTTCAGTATTGTATTTTTTTTTAAAATGTTAAAAGTCTAAGTATTTGTAATTTTAGATCAAAAAATAATATTTGTATAATAATCTAAATCACAAGTCTCCAAAAGATGGAACATACACAAGTTAATATGAAACACCATACATTAATCTAATTATATCTGAAAAACTCCAAGAAAAATAACTAGAATCAGTTTTTATTGTTCTAAAACAAATTCAAATATAAATCTAAAGATGTTACATTAAAATTATTAATATATATACAGTAGAGCATCAATTATCTAAATGTCGATCAACCAAAACATCAATTAACCAAAAGCTTTCCAGTCAGCAAATTTAAATTTCTGCTAGTGTTGTGGCACTGCAATCTTTGGCTATGTCTTGGGCTACTCCAATATTATTTTTGTTGGTGTGCATGTTTTACCTGGCAGCACTGGTGCGGCCATGAGAGGGTACTTAAGGATGTGCCAGGATTTGAACGAATTTCAACATGGGATAAGTTAATATATTTTTTCGACATAATCAGTTATCCGAAAAATCGATTTCTGAACAACCCCAGTCCCCAATTGATTTGGATAATCAATGCTCTACTGTATTTAAAAAGTATCATTACTTAAGACAATTTGATTTAACATTTTAAAGATTTTTAAATTTTAAAAAAATTTGAGGAGTAATAGTTTAAAGAGTCTAAACTGTGTAATTTGTTTCTCAAAAGGTTTGTTTATATTTGCATTAGTAAGTCAGAAAATTGGAGATTATAACAGTTTATAGTTTATATCAATAGGAACAAGATAACTGAAAATTTAAAATATTTTCATAACCTACAAAAAGAACTGCTGTATTTTCTAATTAAACTTCTTTTTCATAGAGTTTAAAGTGCATTAGATTCGAATTTAAAGTTGCATTAAATTATAATTTTCAGATGTTTCTAAAAACAACTATAAATTTCTTTATTATTATAACTTTTATCATATGTTGATGTAAAAAATGTAGGCTTACTTACGGCAAATAGTTTCATCAGAACTATCTCTACAGTCAGATCTTCCATCACATTTTTGTGTCTGATTAACACAGGTTCCATCAGGGCATATAAAATCAGTTGAATTACAGACATGTGTAACTTTATCTAAGAACAATTTAATAAAATTTATCATTTTATCATTAAAAAACAGTATTATTGTATATATATTTACTTACCACAATCTCTTTCATCAGAACCATCTAGACAATCAAACACTCTATTACAACGAGCATTCTCTTGAACACAAGTTCCATCACTACAGCGAAATTGGTTGTGACCACATGCACCTATATTAATAATTTTAATTATTCAATTATATTACTTTCTGTTTTAAATCTATAAAATTTTCAAAAGTTTCAATATGTTAAAAAACAAAATGATTTTTAAAACAAGAGGTATAATATAAGATCTATGAGCATAATTTTATTTCAAATCAAACTGCATTCACACTTCCAACAACAAAACAGCAGCAGCAGTAGATTCTAAATGATAATGATAACAGGTCTTCAATCAAATTCATTCATTGTCAAAGTGTTCACTGCCTACTACATTTTGCTGTTAAATCATTCATAATTTATTGGGTGATCACATAATTAAAGAAACTCTATTTGATTCTATCTAGAAAGCTATTTAGCAGTCCAAATGCAATCAAATTTGGTATGATGACATTTCAGAACATGCAAAAGAGATTTTTGTACTCATTACCATAGTAATATGGTACTTTTAGCACTTTGGATGTTAATCTGTATGATTTTTGATTATGAGAACAAGCTAGTGAGTAATGAGTTTTGGTACTAATTTGGTACTAATTTGGCAGATTTGGCAACCTAAAAGACAGTATCATACTACATAGAAAATCAATTATGGTCAATTACTGAGCCCACTGTTCATCACCATCAAGTTTTACATCTTTCAAATAAGAACACACTGAGCAGTATCCCCTGTATCACTAATTACTCTATATAGCACGAGTGTCATAAAATAAAATGTTTATTGCTTGCAATGCCAAAAGTGCTGTAGAAGCAAATTTTTGTATTAACAATTTATTTTATAAAAATGTGTTCTGTATATCCTGAAATATCACCATACCAGATTTGGTTGTATTTGGGCTGCTAAATATCTCTCTAGACAGCATTGAATAGAACTTTAATTACAGTCACTCAGTACAATATACTTTGTTTTGTAGATTTCCTTGCTCTATACAACATGCATTTACAATATAGATTTGAGACAAATATTAAACTTTTTTGAAAAAACAATGATTATAATTAAGAACACTGCATGACTGTCATATCACAATAGAATTATGGTGGAATGTTGCATCTTTAGCACACTTCATGGTAGTGAAGAAGTGCTTATGTTAGGACTTTGTCTGTCAGATTTCCATGCACATGCAATGATTTCACTTTTGTTACCTATGCATTATGTTCCATTCCATCCATTCAATTCAAACATTTAATTAAAACATTCAATTCAAACATTAAAAATTAGGCTTATAACTTAAGCCTAAACACGATCAGCAAGAAATTTCCAACATTAGGCTTAGGAGTTACCTAATGTTATGTTCAATCAATTTATTGCACATGTCCACGTGCATGTGCAACAACTACTTGATCTATTTCCTTATTAATTTTTAGCATGCTCCACTATAGTCATTCGATCCATGTATTGCACATGTCCACACACATGCGCAAAAGGGAACTGAACACTTTTGCTTATGGTCACTGTAAGCTATAGTAAAGACTACTTGGTTAGTACATTGTATTAAATTAAATTTTATAGTAAATTTATTTTTAAAAATATTTGATTCGTTTTTGTGGAGCTTGACCAATCTTGTAATTAAGAATGTTTTAAATAATATTTGTACATATAAATCACCTTTTGCTCCATCTAACCTGAGCACTGACACACGTTTGAATGAGTATGTAAAAGTGTATTTTGCTCTGATAGTGTGAACACAGATTAAATTGATATAAAAAAGTCCTAAATATTAAAAATTTATATCTTGTTAACATAAGAATTCCAAACTAATAAATTTTAAGATTATAAATTGATTACTATTAAAAATTTACAATTTTTTATTTACACATGAAAAATAACTAATTATATGACTTTGTTCAGAAATTTAAATGTGAACTTAGAATTATTGAGGACTATTTTTATTTGGATTCTAAATTACACAAACTGGATTTTATATAAAATTCAAATAAGAAAAACTTAAGTCAGACTATGCATGTTTACAAAATAATGTTTCTTCAGATCACACTTTATTCACATTTTTCAACACTTATAATTAATTCTGTAATATTTCTTATTAATAATTTCAGTGAATAGAACAAAAAGACAGATGTTAAGGAACCCATGGAGATAATTAGAGGGAACTGGCTAAGAATAAAGCTAGATATAATCACTTTGACAACTGATTTCTAAGTCCTTGTAGTTCATAATGTTATGGAGGAAAAGAAAAACAACACATTTTTTTAGAGTAAAGTTTATTGCATACAGTCGACCCCCCTATAAGATATAGATACATTCCAATTTATTAGGAATCCGATTTCTTACAAGTCGTTCCAATCACAGCCCGACACGTGTCAAGTTTACGGACTACGGCTGATTGAAAGGTTTTCTTCCATAAAATTAATCGATTCTACACTAATCCGACTCAACATTTCCAAAATACGTATATTTTTTCGTAGTTTTATAGGAATCGTAATTATAGGGACCGTAATTATAGGGGGGTCGACTGTATTTTACATAAAAAAATTTACCAAAGATTTATCAAATTTTAAAATATATTTTAAAGTTTTTCAAAAAACAACAATTTCTATAAATTGGCATTAAATGATCTTTTATATGCCTACAAGCTAAAATCTATTAAAAAAAAAGCATGTGTATAAATATTGAGAATGCTGAATCATTATCAAGTAAAAATAATCAAAAACTGGAGCATGGACTTACAATTAAACAAATCAATTTAAAAATTTTTTAATAGAACAAATAAGTTTTGCTTTCATTATCAACTACTTCAAATGCTTCCATTAACAAGAAAGGAAATTTAGTTTACATATTATACAGTAATGTTTGATTATTGCTTAACTAATATCATTGGTCTGCCAGACTTCTGTGATTCTTTTAATTCTCAGAACTGCTACCCTTAAAACTAAGATAAGCCCTACTATCTACCTTTAAGTTGATAAGAAAAAAGCATACACAGAAAAAGTACAACCATGCCTGCTTTCTACGATGAATAAAAGCAGTTTATTTTTCCCATGAAGTCTCACAAACAAATGATATCAGTTTTAGAATTTCCATTGAGTTAGCCTCGTCAACTGCATGCATTTTAATGGTTGTACTTCTTATTTTTGAGTGACTAAATTATATGTGTGATGTGCATTACAATTGTTAGTGTATGTCATGAACAGTTACAGCTTTATGAAATACACTTGCTTATAATGTGGCAGTGTGATTTGCTTAGGATGCAGCAAGAAAGTCTGTACAATGTGCTTTGAAAAATAATAAAAATAAAGTTTGAAAGTTTAATTTTGTATTTAATTAAATTGATTTTTAAATAATAATAATGCAGTAGAGCATCGATTATCTGAATCAATTAGGGACTGAGGTTGTTCAAAAAATCAATTTTTCGGATAACTGATTATGACGAAAAAATATATTAACCTATCCCATGTTGAAATTCATTCAAATCCTGGCGCATCCTTAAGTACCCCCTCTCTTGGTCGTGCCAGTGCTGCCAGCTAAAACATGCACACCAACAAAAATAATATTGGAGTAGCCCAAGACATAGCCAAAGATTGCAGTGCCACAGCACTAGCAGAAATTTAAATTTGCCAACTGGAAAACTTTCGGTTAATTGACGTTTTGGTTGATCGACATTCGGATAATCAATGCACTACTGTAAATGTATATATTCAATATTTCATGGAAAATGATATGGAATTGGGTTATAAAAGAAAATGAACTGCTACATTCTTAATTTTCTTCAACTTTCAAATAATTATAAACTATTGACTGCCTGTATGAGCTACCACTTTTAATATAATATACTGATAAGTCAAGACATTAAAGAATTTCTAATTTACACATCTTTTGCTGAATAAATTATCCAATTTACCTTTTACTGATTCTCTTGAAATTGCATAAGCATGGATAAACTTTAATTATAGAACTTTATACTTTAATAGAATTTCAACACATAAATGTTTTAATGAATTACAATGATCATGAACATCCACAAAAAATTTTCCTGGGGAGATGGCAGTGCTTGGAGACAATTACATCAATAAACTTTTATTTATTTAATTTTTTTGGGTTTTTTCATAAGTAGATTAAAGAATACAGTATTGTATCAAAGTGTCCAATGGTCAAGATGTAAGGTTACATATATCAAATCACTTTTACAATTATAATTTGTGGAATATTTTATTTACTCAATTCCAGGGGAGAGCAAGTGCACCATTTGCCCTCCTCTGCAGACACCCATTACTACCACTATTCATTTTGGTTTACACATGTTTATACAGTTAGTCCTAATTTTATTAGGATTGCATTCATTGGTTTCAGTGCCCACAAACTGAGCTGAGCAAGATTTATGCTTAAATCTAGAGTTTATTTACATTGAAATCAAATTAAAATAAATACTTAAATAACAAATGATGACAAGAACAGTGCTAGAGTTGGTATAATTGAGTCTCATCAATCTTTTGGTGACTAGTGTATTTGAAAACAGAAGCAATGATATCTGATTTAGTGATTAATTTTGAAAACTTGTTTCCTTACAAGTTTGCTTTAGAATGACTTAACACAGTTTTTATTACATACAAACTGCATTAAGCTTTTGAGTTTACCAACCAACAATGTTTACAAATATACAAATGAATCTAGAGCTGTTAAGCTGGAGTTTAGACTCAATTGTCACAATAAATTGTTTGAGGAATGTCAAGCAAAAATTGAATGGTGTGTGTTTGTTTACACTTATAAACAGACTGAACTGCTGGATACACTTTTTAAATATCCAAATCCCAGCTTAGTCTATAGCAAAGTTTTTCCATGATATTCCTCAATGACATGATCTTAAAAGGATTCTAAATAGCTTATGACATTTGTCAAACTGGATTTTATGTCCATACCAAATTTGGTCAAGACTGATTGAGTGATTTCATACTTTATTTAAATCCAATGACATTTAAGTGCAAAGAAATGAGCTTTGCTTGCTCAGCTGAATTATAACATAACATAAAAACTACTTTTTTTATACCACAATTTACACTCA